GTTCTATTGCACAACAACTCCAGCTATTTTCACTGAAATAAAGTTAACGAAAATCAAATACACTTTTTCAGTTTTTGCATTTTAGGAAGGTTTGCCACGGTTAGATTCATATATTTAATACATTTTAATTAATACATTACAATTAATAAAATTAAGAAGAACGTAAGAATTTCGCTCTGAAACATGATAATTGCTATTTATCAGCATGCTTAATTTTAGACAATAATCCAAGAATTTCGTTACAAACAGTAAACAATTAGGCCTACTAGAGAAATTTTATGTCGGAGCGGGATCTGAGCGGGAATTGGTTCACGGTGAGCGTGAGCGGAATATTAACGGAGCGCTTGCTCGAGCGGTTAGAGCGACTGAGCGGAGCGCACGTCCATAGAGCGGAAAACGTAGCGGAGCGGCTTCGCTCACATGCTCTGTTCACGATTAACAGAGTTTTCCTGATTTGCTGCTTATTAATTACTTAGTTAGTTAGTTGTTAAATTTAGGTATGGGGTGGATTAAGGGATCTAAAATATGCTCATATAGAATAAGACATCAATACTGTATGTGCTTTAGAAGTACTCATAAACAGACAAGACTGACTAGTAATATGCATGCTAATAAGCAACTAGTTAATAGAGTGAATTTATCCTTGAAAATAAAGTGTTACCAAACATTGCTGTTCTCTTGATGGACTGCTTTAATTAAGGTGAGCTTCAACACCAATCTTAGAATATCGTATTGTGGCCATAAGATTAAAGTGACTGAAGTTCTTGCTGCAGATAAACATCTGCTGCTTATGTTGTGTGATGCTTAGGTACATCATGGAGAAGGATGACCTGGTAATTGTGGGTGCTGAGTGCGTTGTGGAAAGTGGAGGTGTAATAAACAAGTTCTGAAACACACATACTTTTGCATTCTTGATGTTTGCAGTTGTATCCAAGGCAAGACACCACACAAGTTATTTGTTATTTTATATTAGGCATAGTCTGCCCTATAGCATGGTGTATTTTTATTTGTTTTGTTAATAAAAGTTCTAGGTTTTATATATACGCTAAAGTGAGTTTGACGTTGTATTTTGTTGTTGCATTCAAGCAATTGACGTGAAACTGCCGCTAATTCGAAAGTGAAAGTAAAATGCGCACGGTGCTTTTAAGCTATTTAAAAGCGAAGGAGAGCGAGGAAAAGAGGGAAAATTCAAACAAATACTTGCTTTACTCCGAATTGCTGCTATTTGGAAGTGAAAGTAAAATGCGCACGCTGCTTTTACAAGCTATTTAAAAGCGAAGGAAAGCGAGGAAAAGAGGGAACGCCCCCGCGGTGATACCGGTATTACCGGTGTTGTCACGCGTCGATTAACCGGTGGGAAAATTTCCTCACCGTCACAACCCTAGTCCCCGGTGCATCTACCAACCAAGGAAACATGAAAAAGTTTAACCCAGTAACTTTGTTTTGGGAAGCCTTTTTCTGCAAGCGTCTGAAGAAATGAGCGCGTCAGATTTCGCTCCCCTAGTGACGTCACAAAGGGATCTCATTATAATATGACTGCCCCTTAATCTGTAAGTTTCCACCCATGGCGCTGTCATTGTGTTTTCGCAAGTGACAACAGTGTACCAATTCTAATGCCATAGTGAAAGTTTGAGCAAAACATGCTAACTGTTCAGTGTTTGGCTGCACAGACGAGCACAGAACACTGTTTAGAGTCCCAGCCTCAGAGACAACAGAGCAGTGGATTTATTGATTTATTTACTGTAAGATCTAAAATAAACATGCGATTTATTTCCCAGCTGTTTACCTTCACAGACATAACCCACTGTTTTTGTAACGTTTTTAATGTAAACGTGTGTGAATGAAAACTTAGTTTAGTACTCACATGCTGAGACAGCCGCTTTCTGTGCGTGTGCTTCAGATGTGTGCACTCAGAAAACCGTATATCTGAAGTTTAAACTCATATGATTTAAAACGCATGATTTCAGCACGATAAACATGATAATCAGAACCAAAACACATGTTTTTAGCAGGTCCGAGCTATAATGGCGCAGCCCTATTCTGGAAAAGGGGGCGGGGAGCAGCAGCTCTTTTGCATTTAAAGAGACAGGCCCGAAAAACAGTGTGTGCTTTCACTCAAAATAGGCATTTTCAAAATGATATAATAAATTATCTGTGGAGTGTTTTGAGCTGAAACTTCACAGACACATTCTGGGGACACCTGAGACTTATATTACATATTGTAAAAAGGGGCATAATATGTCTCCTTTAAAGATATATATTGTACTTGAAATCTACAGACACAAATAGATAAAGTGTAATAAAATAAACACTCAAATGTGTATTTTGGATGCTTTCTTTCCGCTAGTATGAAAAGAAAACAGGTTATGGAAGCAAAATAGACCAAAATCTCAAAATTGACCAGCACCTGAAAAAACAATGGTTTTGCCTGCAGTGTCTTGCCTTAAAAGGAACACTCCACTGTTTTTGGAAATAGGCTCATTTTCCGACTCCCCTAGAGTTAAACAGTTGAGTTTTACCGTTTTCGAATCCATTCAGCCGATCTCCGGGTCTGGCGGTAGCACTTTTAGCAGTAGCTTAGCATAGATCATTGAATCTGATTAGACCGTTAGCATCTCGCTCAAAAATGACCAAAGAGTTTCTATATTTTTCCTATTTAAAACTTGACTCTACCATGGGTGCAGCAGGCGCAATGATATTACGCAGCGCCTGAAATTAGTCCCCAGCTAGGTAACTTCCAATAAGCCTATTTTCAGGTGCTGTGTAATATCAGTGCGGCTGCTGCACCCATGGTACGGCAGCAGAGTTCCTTGATTATTACGCCGGAATGAGAGTATAGCTCCTAGCCATATCGGCCTAGAAAATCGCAACTTTTCATTTTCCATCGGTCTTAGTACATTTAGTAAGTTTTAAATAGGAAAAATATAGAAACTCTTTGGTCATTTTTGAGCGAGATGCTAACGGTCTAATCAGATTCAATGATCTATGCTAAGCTACAGCTAAAAGTGCTACCGCCAGACCCGGAGATCGGCTGAATGGATTCGAAAACGGTAAAACTGAACTGTTTAACTCTAGGGGAGCCGGAAAATTAGCCTATTTCCAAAAATAGTGGAGTGTTCCTGTAAAACAAAATGCATTTAGCGGTTATAATTCCATTAATTTCCTAGATTGGTACCTATCAGATGGCCGTGTGCTCCAAGGCACACAACAAACCATTTTATGTGGTGGCAGAAAGTTTCAAGTTTGTGCGGCTCTACCCTCTGAACCAGCAAGACGTACCCGACAGATTCAAGGCAAGCTAGTTGAAACACTTTTTCAGTTACACATAATAGATGCATGCCATCGCTCTTGTTTCTTGTGTTTCAGTATAAAGCAGATATCCTGAAGACAGTGAAGGATCTGAACCAAGAGCACCCCATGATCGACTACACCCCTCCATCCCTCATCACATTACTCTTCACGGACCTCGGTGTGCTGACGCCTTCAGCTGTCAGCGACGAGCTCATCAATCTCTACTTATGATGATGATGATGATTACTGCTCTTCATAAAGCATGTGTATCATTGGTGAAGTGTATGACCACAGATGCA